CCGATCTTTGGGCAAAGGCAGTTGGGATAGCGCTGGCCGCTGTCACTGCCTCTTCTGCCTGACTTTCAAGTGGATTGAAGCACCCTCATGGGATCCTTTTGGGTGGTGGGGGGGAAACCTGCAGCAAAGGGTGGCTGGCTGGGGACAGTCGAGTGAGAGCTGCCGGGTCCAGCAGAGACCATCCTCCTGTGGCTGGAGGTCACCTTGTCCCTCTGCTCTGGGCGCTTAGCGTAGTGGACAGCCGTGAGCTGCGTGTTTTGTCTCCACCGTCTACAGCCACCTCACTTCCAGCTTGCCTGAGGAAGGAAGCAATTTCCTGGGAAACTGGAAAACTGGCTTGTGCTAGACAGTCATGTTGTTCTAAGGGTACTGCTGCAGTTGAAGTAATTAAACCCCTCCCAGTGTAGACACGGTTAAACTGAGACATGTCTTTTAGCCTGGTTTCCTATGGAAACGAGCCTTATGCAATCCTGCTGTCTGTCAGCCTTTCTCCCCCTCCTCCCACCCAGTAGTTTTTGCACTGGTTGGCCAATTTCAACCAAATGCGACAGAAGTCTCCAAGCTGTCAAGTTTTTACGGATTTCATGGAAATAGGTGTTTGTGTAGAGCAGAGGGACTCTGTCAGAGCCTGTCTCAGAGGGAGAGGCTGCAGTGAGGTTTTGACTCATACTGGTCACTGGAGAATCCCAGCATGGAGGAAAGCTTTGAAATGCCTCTGCCATGGGAACAGATGAAGTTGGAGTCTGCACCTGTATAAAACGTTGCCTTGCAAACACAGACGGATCAAACGCGGGAGCAGTTAATTTTGTCTAGGTGCCTGCTCCATTCCTCTGCTGGAAATCCCCCTCCCAGGGCAGGGGGACTGAGCCATGTAGGAAACGCAACCCAAAATGCCTCTGTTCATAGCCTGGTTTAATAAAATAGCCTTAAACAGGTATTGTTAAAATACTCTGGTTGCAAGGGCTGGTGTTTTAGAAGCTATCCCTGCTGGGAGAGGCAGATGGTTGGAGGCCATAATAGCTTCAGTTAGTTCACATTTAATCCATGTGTGTTTGGAGTCAACATCCTCGGAGAGACAGATCGGGTGACTGAGAGACAGTTGTAGCAACCCAGACTTAATCCTGGTGCTTGGAGGATACGCTGCTGATTGCCTGTGGTTTCAGCAGTACTGGGGTCTGGGGACAGGAAAGAAGTCAGCAGTTTCTGTGGTTGTGACCAGTTAGCTCCAGTGCAGTACTGGCCGTGTGCTGGAGTGGTTTGCACCAAGGTGTTTGACTTCCCAGATGCAAGACCCTGGGCTTGGAGTCAGTTACTGGGCAAAAACTGAGCCCCAGTGATGTACTCTTGGGTAGTAGACAGCGTTTGCAGTTGTGGCTGGAGCAGTGGCGTGGGTCAACTTGTGGGTGGGAGGTGGCGTGTGGCTGGGTAGGCTGGTAAGGTGAAAGCTGTGTGGGGTGGAGGCCAGCAGTCGCCACTGTTTTCTCCTGCAAATCTGAAATGGGGAAATCCTCCGTTCCCCTGCATTGCTCTCTGAGGAAACTTCCAGGCAATAGCTTTCCTCTAAGACAACATTACTTCAGCCCGTGGCATTTCTCCCCGCCTCACCCCTATTTGCCTAGTGGTGGAAAACCCTGTCCTGACCGCTGGCTGCAGGCGGGGAGAGCGCTCTGACGATGCACTGCTTACAACCCTGCAATGAGCAGGGCTTCCCGTACCCCCACCCTGCCCAGAGGCTTGCGGGGCCCTTGCCCCGGCTCACAGCCGACATGGAAGGGGGGTAGGCGTGGGGAGACAGCCCGGGCGCCT